AAAATTATTATTATTATTATTATTATTATTATTAGGCCCTATTATTTATGATATCATTTTCATTATAATTACTATTATTATTTTCATTATCATTATTCTTCTTCTTAATATAAGCCTATTATTATTCTGATTACGACTATGATTACTATTATTATTATTATCATCATTATCAATATCATTAATAACTATAATCATTATCATTATTATTATAATTATCATCATCATCATCATCATCATCATTATTATAATTATTATTATCATTATCATCATTATTATTATAATAATTATCATCATCATTATTATTATTTTCATTTTCATCATTTTTGTTATCATCATCATCATCATTATAATATCATCACTCCTGAACTGACCATGAGGAAGCCGTAGAGGATAACTTTCTCCGTGTATTCCCCGAGTGTGAAGTCGCCCAGGTCCGGCTTGAGCCGCTCCCGCTCCAGGAATCCAAGATGGCTGCTGTGCTTGCACTTGTCCACGTTCTCTCCGTCCATCTCCTCCACCTGGTTGGGACGGCAGCACGGACAGCAACGGCAGCGACAGCAGTTGGGACGCTTTCGCCACAGCTTCAGCAAAAATCTGGAGAAGAGATGATGATGATGAAGAAGCTCATGGTTGTGTTTTAAAATCTGGATGAGGAAAATATGTGTCACGACGCGGTGGATTCAGGCGCTCGTCATTTTTTGGTTATATGAAGTTATTGGTGTCATCTGAAAATTTATTCACTTGTCTTGCTGTTCATGAAAAAGTACCCATTTATCTTAAATAGAAGTCAAGCTGTTAGCGATTGTAGAAGGTGGGGTCACCTGGTATCCGTGGTAAAATTAGCGAGTAAATGGCGGCCAAAGTTTGGTAACTTCCATAGCCTGAGAGTCCTTGGAAACTGAAAATCTAAAAATCTCCCTCCTCCTCCCTCCCCCCTACCTCCCAAGTCCAATCTACCCGCACTCTATACACATCAATGGAAAATGATCTGAACATAAAAGACAAGCACAAACAAAAGTTCTTTGGTATAATGATTACAGAACAAAGAACAGGATAACATGGATAGCTCCAATTTGTCGGGACCGGCCTCGGTAGTTCAAAGGATCCAAAGTTTGAGGAATATCTTACAAAGATAACGAAAAAAAAAAAACCGGGACAGTTTGACAGTCTGACAAAGGCCTGATTTCGAGTATTCTGTGTTTGACATATTGTCTTATACTATATATAGTGGAGTCCAAAAGAAACTTGAAAGAAAATGTAATCACCCGATCTTGCTCTACCCACTCGTACAGCATACCAAGTTGAAGCTAAATAAATTCTGCATCATCTGACACATTTTCAAAATTGACCTTAAAAATCAGGCTTGGCAAAATTGTGCAAAATCAAAGAAACGTAAAATTATCTTCTCGCATGGATTGAGGATCATGGATATTGATCAAATGGATATATATATATATTGCATGTACAATGAATGGGGAATTTCGTCTCTACAATAAACAGTTTTCATTTCGATAGCTCCAAAGAAAACCGAAACAGGTGAGTCACAAATAACCGTATCTAGGACACTACAACAAACGTCATGCAAAACTTGGGACGTAAAATTAAATGTGCTCATTGTTATTTTGCTCTACACGAAACCAATAGCTCCTAAACAAAAACAAAATCCTACTAATGAGCCCATGCAATGCTAAGTCCAGGTTTTGCCTGGTATTTCTGACTAATCTGTTTTCTAATCTGTTTGAAAACAACATCAGAAGATGTTGTTCATTGCAGAGACAATATTCTCCAATCACTTGATATTCATTACGTGTCCATTCCACCAATGTTGAAGCACCTCAATACACGCGCAAACATACTTCTATGTTAATTTGATTTAGCACAATTTTGCGAATCCTGATTTTTTAAGGTCAGTTTTGAGTGACCATATCTTGGATGTCTCATAACGTAGATGAAATATTGATGTGTCAGATGATGCAGGATTTATTTAGCTTTAACTTGGTACGCTGCACAAGTGGGTAGTGCAAGGCTTTAACACACTGACTGGGTGATTACATTTTCAAGTTTCTTTTGTACGCCATTGTATATTTAAGCAATATGTAACAATTCCTCCCCAGCAAACGTACGGGATAATGATGTCTTTGAAGAACTTGGGGAAGGGTTTAGCCACCATCAGAGTCAACACCTGGAAGGACAGCTGGGTCATGCAGGAACCCTCGCAGGAATCCACGTAGCGGTCGTTGAAGATGCTGGCGCCTCGCTGCAAACAAAGTCGATGGAAGCATCCGTGGAATATGGATAAAGTGATAATAAAAAGACCATAATAATAATAGATAGCATTTGTATAGCACAAATCCCCGCTCAACAGCAAGCTCTACGCGCTTCACAATCTATACTATTACCCCAGCAGACCTGAGAGCATTTTGAAACAACCTCAACTTCCTGGGAAGCATACAGTGCAAGCAGCCATTTATAGGTGCTAAAACACTAACATACTGACAAGATCTTTCGCTGTCTATGGCCGGGTACCCATTCCCACCTAGGTGAAGTGAGGAAAATGCATGTCTCTTTCCCAAGGACACAACTTCAGGCCCGCGGCTCAAACCCCCGAACCCAAAACCTCACGATTACGAGTCCGGTAGCTTAACCAATAGGCCACCAACACCAATAATCATGATGGAAATTACGAGCAAGACAAAATGCTTCAGATAATATATATTAAAGTTTCTCCTAACATTATTCAGGTAGGCCCCTGTAACTTTGAGAAAATACCTAAAAATTTAGGAAGTTGCATTTGCATACAAAAAATAACAGTCAATAGAGATAACTACCATTGGGTTAAACAGAAAAGAAATGGTAAAAACTTGTAACTGCTTGTCTGATGAACATAATGGACACAACAGGAGGAGAAATATAGAACTAAATCATCAACGCAGCGACGAGAACAGATCCCAAATGTTTTGGGGTTTTGGGGGTTTTTTTTGGTTAGTGTTTTACGGCGCTCGCAACTGCATAAGGTCATATGAGCGCGTGGGACACATTAAACATTTTCAAGTAGGTAGGAAATTTTTAATTTTGCCAGGGTGACCACCGAGCCCTACTCTTATCGATTTTAAACCGCCAAGGGATCTTTCATGTGCGCAACTTGCACATGCAACATCTGAGATTTTTCGCCCTTGTCCAAGAAGGCTAGGTGTAGATCTTTCCTACCAGAAGATCAGGGAAGTGGCTGAAAGATTTGTAACTTAGAATAAAAACAGCAGCCGCTGTGTGCCAGGCTAAGAATGTTTCTGAGTCATGTCCTAGGGTCTGCCGGGGCAATGATGGTTGTAAAGCACATACAGCTTGCCAAAGAATGTGGATACGTGCTATATGAACGTAATTATCATTATCATCATTATCAAGTTCAAAACTCATCAACAAATATATTATATTCGATGGCCAGCAGTGACTACCAATTGTGAAGCGTGCTGACAAAATGAGTTTCTTCTCAGATTTGAGCGCGCTTTTTAGGTAAAGTTTTTACAATTTATAAGTACGAAATAATGAAAGGTGTGTTAGTTACACTTAAAGAATATGGCATCAACAAATTTGATCCTAGTGTCGATTTTGGGCTAATTTTTCCATTTATAGATTGCGAGAAGTAACTCATTTTGTCAGCGCGCCTCACAAATGATACTGGAATCGGAACAAAACCAAAATTCGCGCGAGTTTCTACTGAAAAGGGGAGTTCTAAAAAGCACTCTTCAAGAGTAGAGAAATCAAGACGTATATGAAATTATTTTGATTAAAAGTCGGCTAAATCTGCAGAGGTGACAAATGTAAATAAGAAAATGTTCACGGCTGGTTCAAATAATCATTTTTTTCTGTTGGGCATTTTCTGTTTTTCGCTAATACTCACCCCTCTGAAGAAAGCGATGTAAAAACAAGAAGCATAACTGTTGACGAACTGGAAGGCAAAAAGTTTGATGATCAGAGCATCGTCGTAGCGGGTTTGAGTCCGGTGGTTCTCTGAAACAGAAAATTACACACAATATGGTCACTTTTAAGCCAAGGCGTTGACCAGACGACAAGGACATGTGGTTTCTAGAGAGAGGCATTGCGCTGCCAAGATCAAAATTCTCGCAGCTAAAGAGATTTGAAAACAGCAACAACAACAATAAGCACAAGGGGGCTATCCCGAAAAATGCTGTTTTGAGAAAATCAAAGGTAAAGTTTGGGTCCTTGTTCAGTTTCTTTAAAAGACAAGGAGAGTTTTCTCTATAACCAAACAAATATACACACCAATGAAACCAAACTTCTGCTATAGGCAGGGCTATGTCCACATTTGGTGCAGGTCAAGATTTCTGGAAACCCTCAAAATGTGGGTTAGCCCGGTTGTCCTTAAAAGCGACCATATATCGTTAAAACAATAGCAGTGTCCTTTTACGATAAACAAAATGGTTCCCCAAAATACTGCACATAATATGTTAATTCTCAAGAACTAACTTAAAATTTCTAATTTATTTCATGAAGAAATGAAAAATATCAATAACAGTTTTGTGGCCTATACGCATCATTTACAAAAACGTAAACTTAAATCCTTCATCAAAGCACAAAATGTGAACAAAATACCCCCCAGACCAACTTACCCCAATCTGTTAAAACCACGGCCAGCTTGTCGTAGATCTGCAAAGATACACCAAGAATCATGTTTATTAAAGGAATACATCACACTTACAGTGGAAACAATTCTAGTAACATCAGAATCCTAGAGTGTGAACATATTATGTAAAGCATGCTGACAAAACGAGTTTGGCCTACTTCTCCAATTCAAGCCTTATAGAAATAATAATAATAATAATAAATGACATTTATATAGCACTCAACCCCGATGAAAGTACACAGGCTCTGAGTGCTTTACAATACAGTACAACATACAACAGTAACATAAAACGTTGTGTTCTGACTAAAAGAAAATCACTCCAAATATTCATCTCATTCATTTAAAAACAGAAAAGACTTCAGTCAACATTTGAATGACTCAAAACAAAACAAAAAATAGATCCTTCACGCTTATAGGGGAAATTTTTATACAATTTATAAGTACGAAATAATAAAAGGCATATTATAGTTAAAGAATATGGCATGAAAAGAAAACCTGTAAATTTGACCCTAGTGTAGATTTTTGGTCAATATCTAGATTCTACGTTGGTGGATTGAGAGAAGTAACTCATTTTGTCAGCCTGCCTCACATATAATAAGAGATATGTATTTATAACCTTTGCTAAATAGCAAATGTTTTTCATTTTCTTTGGAAATATTGCAGTTAGAAACAGGCCCTATTGCAGACATGTGCAGGGCCTCTGAAGAGAGAAAAACAAGCTTGATGTAGAAAGGTAACATTCATTTACATTCTCCGTTGGCCTACTTTTTAAATATCTACACAATTAGAGTTAACAGAGGACTCCAGTACCGTGTGTCCCACAGAATGTTGTACTGTTGGATTCCTCAGATATTGGGGTGTAAGCGCACTTGCTTCGATTTAATGACCAATAGAGGCCTATACCGCACCTAGACAGATCTGTCTTTAGACCATTTAGTCAGTTTTGTCAAAGAATTTAACTTCCACTTGAGCCGTACCGCACTAAGACTCAAGCGTCTTAAGACTTTGATATTAATGATTATTTTGAACGTGGAATTGAGAGAGATAGAATGTGTATGTGCTCTACTTTTAAATCTCTGTTGGAATAATAATCTTTCAAAGCTTTATGGTACAGCAAAGGTTTGCTGTTGCCTTCAACTGCGCTTATTAATTTCTCTGTCCAATTGACATCAACATTCATGATTGGCTTTAAAAACATTTGCTGATGGTCCTTGCTTGATGTGCACAGAAAGTAGTTTGTCGTAAAAAAACGATCAGATGCATACGTGTGTAGGTGAAAGGAACTCGGCATGTCATCAAAACACGACCAGATGTATGTATGTGTAGGTGTTAGGAACTCAGCATGTCATCAAATTTCCAGGGTAGTTTTATCTTATTATGGCAGACTGCTCTATTCTCTTACTGGCTCAAACCAGTCTTTAGTCAGACTTGTCGTACTCGGTTTGTGGCCGGTCACAGCTTTTCACGACTCAAATATTGTGTCTAAGTAGTGCGGTAGGGTTCGTATTACTTCATTGTTCAAAACCCCCTAAAACACAGGCTTTAGTCTGTCAAAAGACAGATATGTCCTGGTGCGGTATAGACCTTAGTGATGTGTATATGTCACTTTTAGATTTCCCACCAAAAGAGGGCCCCGGCACAGTGGGTTTCTTCCCTCTAAGGTAAAAAGTTAACTCTTTAGGGACGTAGCGGACACATTTGTACGACAAGCAACAAACCAAAGGTAACGCAGCGGAACATTTTGAACAGTGACACACAGATCATGAACACACATTTACATCGCACAGTAGGCCCTTAACATGTTCTAGTTTGCATTTTAAATTTCAGACAGGAGAAGAGAAAACTGAATTTTAAAAAGTGTAGAAATAACATTTATGCTTCATTTAAAGAAATACACCGAAACAACGCGTCTTCAAAGAGAGAATGAATTGACCAGTACCTTCCCCAGTAGGAGGATGGACACAGCGTTCATGATGGAGGAGAGGACTGTCGTTAACAGGAAGCACTCGTTGTCGGGCATGTTGGGGCAGTAGTCGACGTCCATGACCACACGGTACACGATGACAGCAACCACGCTGATGATGACAAGGGCTGTCTGTGGGGGGAGGGAAGGATGAGATGAGAGGAGATGAGTTGAGATCAGATAAGGAAAGGTAAGATTAGATACGATACGATAACATAAGATAAAGTAAGGAAAGGTAAGATAAGATAAGATACAATGAGATGAGATGAGATGGGATGAGACGAGACGAGACGAGATGAGATGAGATGAGATGAGTTGAGATGAAATGAGATGAGATGAGATAATATAAGGTAAGATAAGGTCATGTAAGATGAGGTCACTTTTAAGCACATTAAGGAGGCTATTTCGAAAAATGCTTTTTTGAGAAAATCGAAAATGAAGTTTTTGCCCCCAGTTTAGTTTCTTTAAAAGACAAGGAATGTTTTCTCTGTAACCAAAAGATAAAATATACTAATCTTTGAAACCAAACTTCTCCTGTAGGTAGGGCAATGCCCATTTTTAGTGTAGGTCAAAATTTATGGAAAACCCCGAAATCTGGGTTAGCTCATTTGTCCTTAAAACCGACCAATTATAAAGAAACAATTATTTCCCAGAAAAGCGTCGGGGACACACTCACCATGAAAAAGAGGACAGAGCCGGAGGTAGTAAACTTGAGAATCTGTCGCCGGAACGGATAGAACCAGGCTGCCTCGTTGGTCACCGGATCCTGGACGGTTGGGAGAAAAAGATAGTTTTAGTTTTTTGATTGAGTAGAGGTTTTACGGCGCTCACAACTGCATAAGGTTATATAAGCGCTAAGTGGTGGATGTCAACAGAGAAGTCCTTACAGGAAATCAGGCTTACTCTGCTCACCTCTCCAGCCTCAACAGCACAAAGTCTGCTTCGACTATCAAGGCACCCCGGAAATAGCGGGTCACAAGAGTGTGACAAACATGCAAAAGAAGTAGAGGAAAATGACAATAGTAAGGATGAGGAAAGAAAAAGCAGCAGTTCCCTGTTGCAGATCAGGCACAGTTATGAGCATGAAATTGATGAATCAGCCAATTCACAATTCTATTGAGCATAAGAACATGTTAATGTCTTCTCTTTGGGAATGGCCTAAAGACACTTCAGTCAGTAGCACTGCTGTGGGGGTAAGGAAAAAAAGAGATGTCAAAAAAAGATAATTAACGGGGAATAAATGTGGTCTCTTAGGAGACTGCTAAGAGTATCGTGAAAAGAAAAGAAATCAAATGAGGTAGTGCTTGATGAAGCCCACGTGGGACGCTCAATGTTAAAAACAATCAGGAAATGACAATGCAGTTTTTGGGACACCTGATTAGACATAAGGGTCTTGAACATCTAGCTCTCACTGGCAAAAGTGAAGGCAGACGAGGCAGGGGTAGGCCCAGAGCAACCTACTTAGAGAACCTAAACAAATGGATAACGGAGAAAGACCATGGAAATGTAGCTTTTTATTGAGCATCCGAGCAAAGGAATGAATGGAGAACCATGATCGCCGATGACTGTTTCCAGATCTGGCATTGGATGATGATTAGACTTTTAAAAAGAAAAGAAATCTTTAGCATAACGTTCTCAAACAGCATTCTTGTGTTTGATTATGGCTCAACTGAAAATGCAGACACAAACAATACAAATACTTTGAAATACTGCAAAGATATGTTCTGAAAAATACAGGCAATTCTTTACTCTCCGATAACTCCAAACGATAGTCAAGCTGAACTCCTTTCAAACAAGTTAAATCAGTAAGAGAATTTTTAGAGTTTCCTGTGAAATAGAGGCTTTTTTGGTATCTTGAACACTCAGAACACCTATGTTGCTGAAAATACAATATGTCTTTTCCCAAAAGGAAAAAAGTTGAAAGTGAGACTTTTGCTAAAAAATGTCAATTTAATTCTTGTTCTCATGACAATTTGCTACCTCAGAATTGCAAAGTTCTATCAGCACAGTGCCTAGTTTTGAGACATTTGACGTTAAAGATTTTGAGTTTCACATCACGTCAAGCTTTTTCGAATGCAATTCTTTGAATATATCGTTATATGACTCTGAATAATCTTATGACTCTGACAGAGCAGGTAGAGGCTGACCTCATGGTCAAATTAACTCAGAACAGTCCAAAATGTCAGATAGAACTTTGTAATTAGGTAGCGACTAAGCTGGAACCTGTTTGATTTTTGTCCCATAAAACTGTGTCCTCTATCTCACCTGTTTGATTTTTGTCCCATAAAACTGTGTCCTCTATCTCACCTGTTTGATTTTTGTCCCATAAAACTGTGTCCTCTATCTCACCTGTTTGATTTTTGTCCCATAAAACTGTGTCCTCTATCTCACCTGTTTGATTTTTGTCCCATAAAACTGGGGTCTGTCCGGCTCATTGGCCTCGAACTGGTCCACGTCCCACTCGTACGCCAGCGTGGCTCTCTGTCGCTTCCAAAGCTCCAGGAATATGGTACCTGAATGGGGGTACGAGGCTCACTCAGTAACTTGTTATTCATATGTGAGGCGGCATGGTGAAATCAGGCACTTGTCAAAATAACGAAATTGAAGAAACAGGCATTATTCTGACCGTTGGTTTATTAAGCAAACCACACCAGAGCACCCGCCAACCACCCACTATTCAGTGTTTAAGGCCATTGGCCCACATCACAGAAAACACACATTCTACAGAAGAGAATTTCATGACAACAGCATAACCCATTTCCACCTGAGTCGCCTCCCTGAGCAGCCACATCCACCTGGGCTGCCTCCAGCCACACCCACAAATCTAGGTACCCACCCACCACCCACACTAAACCTGCAATAACTTTCCCTCCAAACAGCAACAAAATTAGCAGACAATAAGGGTACAGAAGTGTATGAACGGTAACTTTATAATAGTTTTTTTTTAACTTGGAAATGCTGGACTGGAGCAAGTTTTAGAGAGACATCAAGGGATTCGGAATTTCTCCATCGTAGTCAGGTGGCTGCCTGGATACGAGTATTCTCTTGAGCCGTCAGTAAAGAGTAAAGCGAGTATAAGTCTATGGTTGAGCTGATTTAAGAGTGTATAATAATAATAATAATAATAATAATAATAATTTAATGGAGATGATTAATTCTATAGCGCCCACTCCCATAATGTGAAGACAGCTCTAGGCGCTTTACATAAATGCAAGTACGAACAATATTCACAAACACACACACACACACACACACACACACACACACACACACACACCATAAGCCTACGGTAGATCTGAACTTACCCCAACAACAGATGAACAAGGCAAAGAACGGAGTGATGTCGTTGTCAAAGGCTCTCTTCACGTCTCCCAGCACGTCCTTCAGCGCTCCGGCGACCCTGAGTCATGCAACAAACAAACACATTAATTAATTATAAACAAACACGTTAATTAATTATAAACAAACACGTTAATTAATTATCTTTGGTATTCTTTTACTTTCACTCCCATCTCACACTTAGCTACCATTTGTCCATTTTCTACAATATATATATGCGCTGAACATAAATATCAACTTCATTTCCTTCGCCAATTAATAGTCTATGAAATATTCGACGGTTTTTAATCAAGCTACATCACACTAAGCCTGACCACCTAGTAATTTGCGCGCTTTGGAACAATCCGGGGGTTTCAGGGGGCCCCCTGAAGTAAAAAAAAATCTGGGGAGAGGTGTGTTTAAGCCATAATTTGATATGTTGCCGTTAGGTTTGAAATTTTCTTTAAAATAATTGATTTGCGACAGTGATAGTGGCTATATATATTTATATGAGTGTGATCTGAAGCAAACAAGACACAGTTTGAGCCCCGAAGCAGTGCATCTGTGTGTGGGAGTGACTGTAAAAATTTACCTTATCTTTATGTAAGAGAACAGTCTTATTTCAAATCAAGCAGACCCAGTTTTCCAAAAAGAAGGAAACATTTCTTACCCTGTTGAGTTAGTCACTGTGTTCTCTGTGACGCTGAAAAGAAAAAGTTTGACAAAAATTAGTCATCACTAAGATTTAATGGGTTTTATGTGATAGGAACAAAGGTTGGAATATTGCGATGGTAAGTAAGTAAAAAGTATAATTTTATCCCATCTTATGTCTCGTAGAGAAACCGCATTTATCGCTTCCTAATTGTTCAATCAAAAATGCAATTGGACCATTTGCTGACCTTCTCACTTTGGTCAGGAAACGCAAACTTCAATGGTATGGACACATCACCCGTTCATCCGGCCTTGCCAAGATGATGCTGCAAGACAGCGTCCAGGGAAAGAGGAGCAGAGGCAGACCGAAGAAGAGTTGGGAGGACAACATCAAGGAATGGACAGGCCTGGACCTCAAAGACACACTCAGAAAAGCTGAAGACTGGAAGGAGTGGAGGAGGCTGGTGGCCAAATCTTCTGAAGCCCCGACGGACATCCAGTCTACGGGATAGGTGAAGGTGAGGGTGAATTGTTCTCACTAGTTTCTTACTATAAAAAAAAACCCTACGTCAGACGAAATTTTATCACATCTCACCTCTGGTATAACCCGTAGAAGAAAACAATCAAGCCAAAAAAGGTTGGGATCCACAGCGTTGTGATCAGCATCCCCGTCCACGCGAAGTAGAAGGCGATCTTCTCTCCGAAGTAGTCGCGGATGTGCCACATCGGCTGGAACTTGAGCGGCTTGGTCCACGAGTCGTCCAGATCTTTCCGCGGATCTTCATCCAGAGAGTTCACCTGAGTCTGAGCCGTGTCGAAGTGGTTCGGCAAATTGTCCTCTTTCTCATGAGACTTCACAGAGTCCTCATGCAGGACCAGGAAGTCGGTGTAGGTTCCTCTCATCAGCAAAAACTTGAGACCTGAGGACCAAAAAAAAAAACCACGTTAGAAAGCAAGATCAATCAGTCAATTGACAAAAGTGGGACACTAATTGTGAGGCATCGCGGTGAAATCAGGCGCTTGTCAAAATAATGAAATTAAAGAAATTGGAATTTATCTGGCTGTTGGGCAATTTTTTTTTTTTTTTCTTTTTTTGGCTCAACACCATTTACATTCATTTAAAAACACACTTCTGTGTGGATTTTACTGAAAAACATAGATTAAAGGTATAAAATATGTAAATTTTCATTTTTCAAGGACTCTCAAGTTATGGAAATTACCAAACTTTGGCGGCCATTTTCTCGATATTTTTTGTCGCTGAAACCAGGTGACCCTGACCTCCAACTATCGCAAATATCTCGACTTCTGTTCAGCATAGATGGATACTTTTCACACCAAAAGAAAGACAAATGAACAGGCTTTAATATGCTACCAATAACCCGATATGTCCAAAATTTGACGAGCGCCTGATTCCACCGCGCCCTGACACAATTATTGATTTCTTTACCAAGAGCGTTGGAAAAAAATGAATTTCCGTGTCCTCAGTTAAAAACTCAGTTCACGACATTCAGCACCTGAATTTTTCAGTTGTAGAACAACAAGGTATCTTAAAGTGTGTTTATTTGTCTTGCTTGTGGTTTAAAAAGACCCATCGATCGATTGAACAGAAGTCGAGACATTCGCGATTGAAGGTAGTAGGGTTCACCAGTTGTCAGAGATAAAAGTAGCAAGAAAATGGCCACAAAAATGGTGAATTCCAAAGCTTGAGTGTCCTTAGTCACTGCACATTTACAGTTTCGGTTGCTTTCATCAATGATTCTCAGTCAAACCCACACAAACATGGACATATAAGGTGTCTTGTCTGCTCCTCACAGAAACAAAAAATAACAAAAGGTAAAATGTGCCCAATAGGCAGAACAAAATTATCAGTTTCTTTGACTTCATTATTTTGGTGAGTGCTTGATTTCCCCACGAAGCCACACATTAAGATGTATCTTATCTTATCTTATCTTATCTTATTTCATCCTATCTTAAACACTAATCTTTTTTTTCCAGCCGGGTGCTGTTCTGCGAGCATGTTTGAGAGTGTGTGTGTGTGTATGTGTGTGTGTATGTATGAGTGTGTGTCTGTGTGTGTGTGAGTGTGTATATTTGTGTATGTGTGTTCATGTGTGTGTGTATGTGTGTGTGTGTGTGTGTGTGTGTGTGTGTGTGTGTGTGTGTGTGAGGGTATGTATGAGTGTGTGTCTGTGTGTGTGTATGTTTGTGTATGTGTGTGTATGCGTGTGTGTGTGTGTATGTTTGTGTATATGTGTGTGTATGTATGAGTGTGTGTCTGTGTGTGTGTATGTGTGTGTGTATGTATGAGTGTGTGTCTGTGTGTGTGTGTGTGTGTATGTTTATGTATGTGTGTGTGTAAGTGTGTGTGCGTGTGTATGTATGTATGAGTGTGTGTGTGTGTGTATGTGTGTGTGTATGTGTGTATGTTTGTGAGTATATGTGTGTGTGTGTGTGAGTGTGTGTGTGTGTGTGTGTATGTTTGTGTATGCGTGTGTATGAGTGTGTGTGTGTATGTATGTATGAGTGTGTGTCTGTATGTGTGTGTGTATGTGAGTGTGTGTGTGTATGTGGGTATGTTTGTGAGTGTGTGTGTGTGTGTATGTTTGTGAGTGTGTGTGTATATGTTTGTGAATGTGTGTGTGTATGTGTGTGTATGTGTGTGTGTGTATATATGTGTGTGTAAGTGTGTGTATGTTTGCGAGTGTGTGTGTGTGAGTGTGTATGTTTGTGAGTGTGTTTGTGTGTAAGTGTGTGTGTGGGTGTGTACATCAACCTTTTTTCTTCAGCGCGGTGCTGTTCGGCTGTTGGCCTGGCCCTTGGGTGGGTCTGCCGTTCGTTCCACAGCACAGAATCGTACGACACGGCCCCGGGCAGAACGAACACGCGCCCTGGTCCTCCTCATCCTCCGATTCCTCAGCGGCCGCGTCTGCCTCCTTCTCCTGGTCACTCCGTATGTCCAGATTGATGAGGATGTGGTGAACCTGCGGGACGCCACGACGTACGGACGAATTAATTTGTTGCTTTTAACTGTCCCCGTGGTTTTATGCACCCCGCGTAATTTAGCAAAATTTGATGATTTTTAGCATAATTTCTTATTATTTTTCCTTTATCATTCTTTGTTAAAATTAACAGAATCGCATAATTTCACATTTTTGGGCTCAGCTTGCATAATTTCAAAATTTTTCTTGCATAAAACGACGGGGACGGTTTTAAGGACAAGCAGGCTAACCCAGATTTCGGGATTTTCCACAAATCTTGACCTACACCGAAAATGGGCATTGCCCTACCTATAGGAGAAGTTTGGTTTCATTGGTGTGTATATTTGTTTGGTTATAGAGAAAACTCTCCTTGTCTTTTAAAGAAACTGAACAAGGGGAAAAACTTTACCTTCAATTTTCTCAAAACAGCATTTATCGAGATAGCCCCTTGTGCTTAAAAGTGACCAGTTAGCATGTGTACGGATAGCCATCTTCTCAGGGAAACACATTTAGCTATGGCTTGTTCACTTTTGTCTGACCATGGTTAAAACGGGATAAAAACATATCGCTCTGTTTAATCTTTCTGGGTGTTTGCATGCGGGTCTAAGAGTTAGGCGACCAACAGAATCTGAAAGCCCATTCATAAAAGTCACTGCAGACTAAGGTTCCCACACATTTTCTTTGATGTAAAGCCTAGAGTGGGTCAAAAAAAGTATAGGGGAATTACAGCATACACTTTAAACATAAAAGTTGACATATTTTCCTCAACACCACTCTTTAACGTTCGCCTAAGAAACACAATTCAAGAGACGGGGTGAGTAATTTTCGAGACTCACGTGGAGACATCTAGACAGCCGGGGATGAAATCTTCAAGCTTACACTGAAATGTGGGGGCAGAGTGTGGCTGTCTCAAAATGAGCATTTTGTAGGCAAGGTTACTGTAAGTCATTTATTTTAGTGATCCAGTGTATGTATCCAACGAGCAGTTTTTAATATAGCGCCCAAACAGAAAACTTTTTTATTACTGGGTCAAGATTTATTGAAAAAATAGTTTTGTTTGGTCGCTGGCCTGCAGAAGTGCCATGCAAAGTTTTGGTGGGCGTGGGTGAATTCCTCAATGGGCTAGAATTGTTTTTTACTCGGTCAGATGAAAAAGAACAAGCTATAGTAGCTGTTTTATTTATTCCATGCCTTGATCCATAGTCAACAATTTAGGATATATAAAGTTTTTTTAAATCCATCTATGTCATGCAGATTTTAAAATAGAACATCAGAGAACCTTCGCAAGAACCAACCTTGCAAACAAAGAAAGAAATGAAAAAGTCTGTCTGAGAACCCTTGTTTTCAAGAGAAATGGGTAAGAACAGTATTTGCACAAATGACTGCTCCCATCTCAAAAGATGCACTAAATGTAGAGGAACACACACATGCAGGTATCCTAATTTGAGATACATACCAGAAATGATCGAATTGATGGTCGGAAAAAATGAGTAGGGTCTTCCCATCCTTCGTAGAGATGAACTTTGTTCATGATGAACTGAGAGCTCACGTAGTCCAAGACTGTGGCTCAGAAAATGGCAGAGAAAGAGGGAAAGAAAACATATGTGGGCCACCATGGGGAAGTCAGGGGCTCGTCAAAATAATCACATCAAACAATCCAACATATTTCCACCTGTTTGGCACTTTTTAAAGGTTTTTTTGTTTGTATGTTGTTTTGTTTTATTGGGGGGGGGGGTGTCTTTTACGGCGCTCGCAACTGCATAAGGTCATATGAGCGCGCGGAACACATTAAACTTTTTCAGTTTGTAGGAAAGTTTGAATTTTGCCCGCGTTGTGGCCTACGCCTACTCTGATCGAAGTTAGACCTCCAAGGGATCTTTAACGTGCGCAACTTGCACACGGGCTCTCCGAGATTTTTCGCCCTTGTCCGAGAAGGCTAGGTGTTGATCTTTCCTACCAGAAGGTCAGGGGTATGGCTGAAAGACAGCAGTAAGAAGGAGCCAAGGAGTAACAGTAGAAAGGCTGTAGAAAGAGTCAGGAGCCCAGGAGGTGAGGAGGAGGTGGGGGCAGAAAAAGGAGACTAAAGCAGACGACAGAACATTGCTAGAGAGCAGGAATTTTAGAGAAGAAAATGTTTCGGTCGCTACCCGGATTCGAACCCGGGACCTATGAATGAGAGGCCAACACCTTAACCTCTAGGCCACGAGAGCCCCCGAGCCGAGAGTGTGGAGATCCATGAAAGCTATCCGAGAAGCAAGACCACGAACTTTCAAGGATTTAAACCTCTTTCATCCGCATTGTAGCTCTGCATTATAAAAACTGGCCTAACGGTGTGCTCTTCACAGGAAGAGGATGGGAGAGAAGGCGGG